CTAGGGTGCCTTCGGACCTCGCGGGGCCCCGCCCTCACCCACCCCGCCCGAAGATTATGAAGCTTTAGTCTCCCGGTGCTGGGCACTGGGCACGCGCGCCGCCCGAGTGTCCCCATGGCGACTGAGTGGCTCTGGCACCCTAACCAATCCCGGGCCTCCCTGCTGCGGGAGGGCGGGGCCAGGTTGCCCATCAAGCAGCCGGGCGCCCGGCAGCGGGGGATGGGAAAGGTTGCGGCACAGGGCACCCCTCCCCCTCGGCCAGCGCTGGTGCCCTGGGTCAGGAAGCCCTCCTCCTTCTCCTCCTCTCCTTCCTCCTCCTCCGGGATCAAGTCCTCCTTGCAGGGCAGCTCCAAGCCTGCTCAGCCACCCCCACGCCCCCTCCCACAGCCCACGACCAAGGGTCCCCTCTCCGGCAGCCCTGACCCCGGCCCCCACCCTCGCACACAGAAGGGTCTGGCTTTTTAGCTGAAGCTGCAGAACCCAATCTAGCTGTTTGGTGACTGAGCAAGCGACCCCACAGCATTGACTGAGGACCTGCTGTCTTCTGGCCCGGTCCTCGTGGCAGCCAGCGGCCAGGGGACTGGTCCAACTAGGAGGTGGGGGCTGTGGGTGGGGAGGGGTAGATATGTGCTCATAACTGAAACCACACAGGGACTCACAAAGTGAGGTACCAGATTATCTACCACCTGCCCCACCCCTGGTCAAGCCACGCCTGCCCCACTGGCCTCCGCAGCACCCCAGCTTCCTTGGGGCACACTGCCTTTTACAGCAGGTCCCCAGACTCCCGCCTTGAGGGCCCCTGGTCCCATGACCTGTACCAATCACCCCCAGGTGCCTTGGCCCTCACTCGGCCCCGCCTTCCACCTGCGTTTCTGCCAGCTCTGTCCAGCTCAGCTGGCCTTCCAGAGGTCTGCACCTCCTGCCCCACTCAGCTCTCCAGCCCAGACCCCAGCCCTCCATGCCTCCTTCACCAGGTCCAGGGCCAGTCCAGAGGCAGCCCACTCCCCACCTGCTGTCCGAGGAATCCCCACAGGCTCCCAGGTCCCTGCCAGGAGTGTGGGAGGAGGGCCAGATGCCCACACCAGCTGATGTCCAGAGCACCTGTGAGCTCCGGGGTACCCGTGCTGGCTGACGGGGTGGCCAAGGTGCACTCCAAGGCTGCCTACCCCCAAAGCCTGCCCTCAGGGCCCTTCACACCTGCACTCACAGGGGGATAGGGGGTCTCTTCACACCTGGCATCACTACCACAGGCCTCAAATCCATCCTCTGAGGGGCGCTAATGGGCACCATCCTTGCCTGGCAATTGTTGGGTGTTCACCATGGGCATCAGCCCCAAGGCCTACTGCAGTTCCACACTCCACTCAGGGGCATCCCAACACACCCCCTCCACCTCCCCACCAGCCTTCCTGGGGGTAGGGGGAAGAGGCTTTGTCCTGCACCTCCCGCTAAGGTGAGGAGGATGCACAGCGCTCCCACTGGGGCCCCACACCCAGGTTACAAACCTCCCCCCAATGCCAACCCTGCCAAGGCAGCATGACCCAATGGTCTGGCCTGCACACAGGAGACACCCCCTCTTTGCCCTCGGTTGCCTCTCTAGGCTGGGAAGGGATGGGGCCGAGCAGACAGGCCCCAAGGTAGCCACCTATGTACACCAAGGTGTCTTCCCACGCTGACGAAATCTTCACAATTACGGAAGCTTTTGTCATTTTAACTAGCAGTGGCTGGTCCACCTTGTAAAGAAACAACCAACTCCACAACTTGCCAAAACCCACGGACCTGCTGTCCCAGGTCCCCGATCACGCCCACACCACACCTGGGAGGTGGGCAGCGAAGGCTATCTGCAGACTAGGACCCACATGGTCCACCCCCAACGAAGGGACAAGGGAATGCACATCACACCCACGTCCTTTCTTCCTTGGGCCCACTTTTTGGCAGCCCTAAGCCTGGGTGTCCACTGCCCCTTCTGCAGCCTCCCTGAGTTGGGCCAGCTCATGGGCTGCAGGAGGGGTGACCCCACAGAACCAAGCAGGCTTTGGACCAGGAGCAAGCGCTGGGACCTCCTGGAGCCTTCATTTCCTCTCTCATCAGAGTGACCAAAGCAAATACTAAACTCACTGCCGACTCGTAGTGACCCCCATAGGACGGGGGGTGGTGGTTGGGGGGTGGTTCGGAGGCTGTAACTTTACAAGAGCAGAAAACCCTGTCTTTCTCCCGCTAGTGGTTCTGAACTGCCACGTGCGGATCATAGCCATGCACACCAAGGAGACGGTGCGACAGTGTGTTCCCGACAGCCTGGGCTCTCTCACGTCACAAAGCCCCCTTGCAGCTCCCACGCCTGCCTTGGACTGGAAGGAGGGCTCCTGGGGACCCTTTGAGATGGGCACAGTGAAAGATGGAATGGGGAGCACACCAAATCTCGCCCCTCCTTTTCCTGAACTTCTGCCTACCGCTGGGTGCCGGGGACACACTGGTGGTAAGACAGGTCTGGCCCTGGTCCTGGCCGCCCACTGCTCACCAGGGGCACCCTCTTAACAGTACAAGCCCCATCCCGCAGCCTTCCAGCTTACAGGGGTTGGCTCACAGGGTGGGGGGTGAGGGGGGTGGCACGAAGAGGGAACCTCAAGGTTTCCTGGCAGGAGGCCCGATGCCACTGACCTCCACTGGGCGAGGGCACATTAGTGGCTACACTCCTGGCTGCGGCCCTGGGCTGAGTTCAAACTGGCAAAGCTGCAGAAAACCGTGCCCCTAGCCCACAACGCAATTGAAGTAGTTGGATGACAACCTCTCCTGGCTGGCCGTGGAAACGGGGGTGGCCAATCCAAACTGCTCGTGGGCCACCCTCTCCCTGAGGGAACCAGCACCCCCCCACCCCACAGGGCTCTTAGCGCAATGTCCCCATCTCAGAAAGACCTGCCCTGTCTGCCCGCCTGCCCCACTCTGACCCCATACATTTCTCCCATGCTAGGTTATATGGACTCAGGTCTGTGCCCAACCCCCACGTGAGCTGCCCCAGCCCTGGAGACCCACGGGTGGCAGGGCGGCACTGGGTGGGCTGGCGCCCCTGCCTTCCCAGACAGCAGGAGATGGCAGCCTGACTCTCTCAGGGTTGTGGGGAGGAGGGACGGGCCTGTGCCAGGCTGGCCAGTCAGCAGTCCCTCGCAGTGCTGACTGTGGGCATGTGACCCGAGCTGGACCAATAAGAGTGATCCAGGCCTTTATTTTTGCTGCAGGGCTGGGGCACAAAGCCCTCTCTGGCCTGGGGGCTGCTGAACCCACTTAGGTCAGAAGCTGAGAGCCTCTCCCCCTCCCCGCAAGAAGCAGGCCTGGGCTGGGCAGGGGCCTTGTTAAGAGTCCCCAGGTCCCTCCATACCTGAGCCAGTGGGTACTGGTGGGCCACGTGGAGGTCTGGCTCAAGCTCAGGGTGCTCCCATGCCCAGTCTGGGTGCCCTCGAGGGGCCAGCCCAGGGCTTAGGGTGGACAGGCCTGTCATCATTGGAGGAAAGAAGAAATGGAGGGAAACCGTTCCCAATCCTCCCTTTCCCGGGCCCCTTTCCCAAAACCGTGATGGAGATAGAGACACACAGCGGAGGCCTCCCGAGCGCAGTCGGGTGACCTTTGTCACGCCACCTGCCTCCATGGCTGCTCTTATCACCAGGCTGAGGCTGTACCTCTGGGGCCCTTTGGGACTGTGAAAAAAAAACCAGCTGGCCCTTTAGGGCCCTAGCCTGGCTAGGAGCTGGTCCTCCCAGGGGCGGACCCACCCTAGGCCTGGACATGGACTCTAAGGGGGGTGGGGGGGTGTCTCGTGTGCCTGCCCGGTCCTCATCTGTGCTGCTCCCCCAGGAGGCTGGCGTGCCAGGCCCAGGCAGTGATGGCATGAGGAGCCCTTGGGCGGTGATGGTGCGTGTGTGACAGGCCGGGCTCCGAGGGGCTCCGGGCTGCAAGCCGGAAGGCAGCCCTCCTTCCCCAGAGGCCAGGCCGCCAGCTCTGCAGAGGACGACTGCCAGGCCGGGCCGGGCAGGACGGGTGACTACCACCTGTGCCTGGATGCCCGCAGGCAGGGAAAGCCCGCCGGGCAGG